GTAAGATAAAAGTATACTGAGCTAATCTTGCTGCTGAAAACCCTTTCTGGATTGGTTAACTTGAAAAACTGTCTTAGAAAATAGAATTCAAATAATCCATAACATTTTTTTCCTATTACCCTACCTCAAATCATGAGAATTTCAGCTGTTCTTAAACTAGAAATCTAGACTTTACCAACTGCAGAAGCCAGCCTAAAGGCTCATCTAAACTTTGTCTCTGAGTCCTGTCAACACGGACATAAAAAATGCCCATGAGGCCCAAGGCTCACCTGTGACACTTGGGCAAACCATATGCTTTAAAATGGTTTAAGGGGGGAAAAGAGAACCAACACAAACCCCCCACCCAAATAAACCCCAAACCCACTGCCATCACAGAAATTCCTCTACTGCTTTCCAACAGCCTTGCTCCTCCACTGAAGAGTTGGAAGCAGAACAGTAGTAACTACTCACTGACAGCTTACAGTACCCAAAAAAGATTTCCGCAGCACACAATATAGCGACAGAGAGGTAAACAACCTTGAGAATCCTCCTTTCACTTCCCAAGCCAAGCGGTCTCAGTACCTGAATTTATTAAGCAGAGAGCGAAAGTAATTCCTTTACAAATCATACTGTACCTGTGAAGATCTGTTTTACTAAATAGAGAGGTAAATAAGTTCTATATTATCATAGGAAAAGCAAACCCAAAAACTTCCATCTTTTTTGTTTTACTTTTATCCTTGTATTACTCACACTTTTTCTAGAAGTTTCAGAGTTATCATGATCTCATGCATCTGTAGAAATCCACAATTCTTTATCTTTCTCACTTCCAAAGAATCATGAAGGCAAAAGTCTGGAGAAGCAGTCCCCAGAAATAATATTTTAAAAATAGGTGGTGGCTCTTAGCTGTTCAGAAACTTACAGATTTATTTATAAAAGTCCATGCTAAGTTACTGAACTTGAAAATATATCTGAACTAGAAAAAGAAAGCATCTGGTTTCCATCTGTCCTCATGGGAACCAAGAACGGCTTTAGATGAAAATAAAATATTGGGGTGCAAAAGAGCAAGATCTCAGGGATGCAGGAATGAATAGAGAGAAAAATTCTGGGAAGGAAGGAGAGGAATCTATCAAGAAGCTAAAAATCACACATTACAAAATAAAAAGAACAGAAGAAAAACACACTCCATATTTTTGAGCCATATATAGGATGAAAAATGAGCAAATAACATGCCAAAATTAGAATTTCATTTCACAATTTTTAAAAAAAGTATAACTTTAATACCAAACAGTGAGACTTGTTTACAGAACTAATTGATTTTAAAGACATATACCTGAAAATACTTGCCAACACATGCAAATATTAAGCACCTCCTACTGCATACGTGGTTGGCAAGCACAATTTTGTCCATTTGTATCTAAGCAATTTTTGAGCAAAGTGAACTTGCAATGATGACAGCTGCCCAGAACAATTCCATATTTAAAAAACCAAGCTGCAATGCTGCCTTATGCAGGACAAAGGGAAGCTTTTATTTGCATTTGAAATAGTTTGCCAACATTCAATTACAAGTCACAAAACATCTAAATTGGTTTTCCACGTGCATGCACATCTGCCTCCATAAATATTCTGCTTTAAACCTGTAAGCAAAGTTATTGAAGATACTGCTTTAAATATCCCTTCCACCCTCCAAGGCAAGCTACTTCTTGCCCCTTGTTTTGTTTGCCTTAATTTTATTTTTTCCACTTTGCACATAAAGAATAGAGGAAGCCAAGTGAAAATCTGAATAGGTTAACTATCAAGCTAAAATATTTAGAATAAGGAATCTGATCATAAAGAATATCCTCTCTGACCTTTGCCATGAAGACTCAAGAAGTTTCCTTTGTAGCTTTTAAAAGGTAAGGTGTTGCCATGCCGTGGCCACAGAGCACACTGGGATGCTGGAGTACATCACCCTCAGATGGGACTCACTCAGGTTCACTGACCTAACCATCCCTAGGGTGCAGCCCTGCTTTTCTACCAACTACCATTTTGATCCCTATTAACACATAAAAAAGGCCCTAAAAAAAAACAGAGTAAGAAGGTAGAGTTCTTTTCCAAACAAGTACTGATTACTTTGGTTAATCGCTCCCTAGCACACAGCACAGCCAGCTCCATCTCTGACATGTCATGAGGCTGGTGGCATACACAGCAATTGCCATTATTTTCATATTACACTTAAGTCTGCACCACAATATTAACTTGCACATATTCTACATCAGTCTGTGTCAAATCATAACTGATCAAGAGTAAAGCAGGCACCCACAAATGAGTGCATAGCACTTCTTACAATTTATTGTGAATAAAAGTCTCTCAGTTCTACCACCAAAAATGTACCAAATTGAACTTAAAAAATATATTCTGGTCCCCACAACTAACTTGCTCAAACAGAGTTCTTTCAAACCTTTGATAAATGGACATGCTCACAGTGCAAAAGCCATTACCTCATGCCATAATCTTCTTCTATTTTTCTTGGACCTCAAAGTAGCATCAATAACCATCTCATCATTGTGTTCTTCTAAAGCAAAAGCAAACTAGGGCAGTATCTAAGAATTTAGGTAGTCTTTCAACTGTCTTGCATTGTAGTTCGAACTACTAGTAGACTGTGTGAAAGTAGATAAAATCTCAGAAGTGTAAAAACTAAAGACAATTAAAAGCAATAATAACAAGAAAAGATATGTCTTAGATTTCCCTATACTGTGGCACCAGCATGTATTTTGAAGGCCAACTTTGTCTCACATTGAGAGCATCTTTTTAATCTTGCATGTAAACAATAACAGCTTAAAATATTTTCTTTAATTATGTTTTGATTTGGGGAAAGAGGCAGGAGCAGAAGAATTTAAGTATGGAGAACCCCCAATATCAAAATTGCTTATCTTGCCACACTGTTTATACTCTTAAGCTGTCTTTCCCACGGGCAGCCAGCATCTCAAGTTAGCATGAGCCAGTCTGACTCTTCCAATCTATAAAGATCAAATAAGCAACCAAAGCAAATCCCTTAAACAGCAGAGCAAGGAAGTTTTCACAGGCAGAGGAGTCAGGGGAGCATTTTCTACAGCTTTGGTTTCTTGGGATCCAGGCAGAATTCAAAACAGCTGAGACCATGAGACTGCAAACCAGCAGAGCCACAAGACAGGACATCTATCCCACCCCCAGATGCTGGGACCCAGGCTCTTCCTTTGATCTCTGCTAGTCTGATCCTGACTTAGTCTTCAGCTGTCAGGTAGCCAGCAGTGGTGAGTCAGATGCTAGACTGGGTAGGAAGGGTGAGAACAGGAGGGGACTGGGCTAACCCATGATTAATTCGATTTTCAAACAACTCATCTCAGAATCAACCAGAAGCAGCCTCAGACAAGTCATTGCCTGACCGAGACACACCTGCTATTACTTTCCTATATCTGATATTAACCCTGCCCATCCAATTATGGTGACAGGAGAAAGTGGGCCACCCCCTGCCTCCCTTCACTCCCAGCTGCTGCTGGAGTGACTCAGTGGGCTCCTGGAAAGTGCATTTCTAAACAACCTGCCTGTCTCGTCGGGAGTCAGAAAAGCAAATGACACACTAGATACAACACGTAATTCTTCTAATGAGCTGGTATAATACTTCTCTTTCATCAAGAAACTTTTAATGCCACCTTTACAAGTTTCACTCCAGAAGACGCCCTAGGCATGAACCACACCACAAGATACTCATTTCCTCAGAGACTGAGAAAAGGGAATCCCTTATTAAAAGTAGCTAAGGACCAAAGTACAGGACAGCAAGAAAAACAAGAAACAAGCAGGGCTGAACTGTAGACTCTTACAGAAGACCGCACTCATACAACCATTCAAATGCATGTCACTTAGGGCTGGGAACAAGCACCATCACCCTGGAGAGATGGATGTTTGTCAGATCTACAACCATGTCACCGCTTCAACACTGATGAAGTCTCAGGTGTTATCCTGCCCTTTCATTAAGGGCAGGATAATTTGCCACAAAAGACATAAGTAACTGGTGAAGAGATATGTTATGGACCTCAACCAACACCCATCAAGGAGCTCTGCACTGCTGAAGGCAGGCACGAACAGCAATCATGGGGTACAGCTGCCTTTGTTTTCTTTGAAAACAGGAAAAGATGTTTCTCCCTATGTGATGGATTCAGAGGCCAATCCTCCTCCAAGATGTTCACTCACATCATTAAATCAAAACAGCAGTCTTCTAACAAAAGATAATATTTAGCCTTGTGAGACTTCTGAGAGCTTGAAGGAATTTCTTGCTTGTGCTGCTGCTCTTCCTGCTCCAGATTCAATAACCCGTATGTGAGCATCCTGCTCCCTTCTTCCAACACCTACCAAAACATAGTCCCAGGCTAACAGAGGTATGCTGGGATCGAATAATATCTTACATTTCAGGAACAAGGCCTGACCAATCCGTAACCTCTATAGCAGATGCCTCAATTAGCAAAGGGAGGCTGATAGTTTGTGAAATGGTAGTCTCACTTCAGGAAAGGTACCTCGGAGACTCTGAGCTGCAGTATTTTCATCCATTTAACTCAGGGTTTAACTGTTTAAATCCATCATTTTGTTTGCCAATAAAAATGATGCTGTTGGACTTGACTCAAAAAAGAAATGCCCCTAGTCAGCTGGGGCAGGGGGAAAAAAGCCTGAATAAGATCTGGTTTCGCTTAAACAAGTGAATTGAACAAAACTGAAGCTCAAAAGGAACTAGAGTAGATGACATAAGGTTGGAAGAGGTCTTTGTCAACTCACATAATTAACATTTAATAACTTTTCTAAAACACTATAAATCAAGACAGATTTCAGGCTATGGCAGCATATCTTTCAATTATTTCCACTTAACTCCATGTACTTTGGCAAACCACTTACATGTTTTTATCCTCCAAACAACAGTTACAACTATAATCAATTCTCTTTAAATAAAGGTATCTTACCTTTGCAGAGTCATGTTCAAATTGCCTGTACATGCCTTGATCTTGTTTTGTGCCTCTAGATGAGTCATCCCATCTGTGCTTATCCCATCAATGGTGAGAACCACATCACCTATCCCCACATGGGCTTGGGCTGCCTTGCCACCATCATTAAGCTGAAACATCACAAGAATGGTAAATGAGAAACTTGGATGGTTTATGTTTATACTGAACACAAAGTCACAATATCTTATTCACAGTGCTGTTTCATAGAAAGAAAAAAAAAAATTGTTTCTCCTTTGTGAGTCCTGTGAACATATCCCTGTGAAAACTGCTGCAATATTTAGAGGTACTCATTCTTATTTCACTTCAGTGACAGGGAAAGTACCACATAGTATTGCCTGTTTTTCAAAATCAAACTCCACTTTACTGGCTGGAAGCTATGGACGTTCACCAAGAGACACAAGCAGGGACAGGCACTCACAGTCTCCTGCATGCCAAGTTCCAGTCGCTTTTCTCTTCATACATGAAATTTTTCTCACAAGAGGAGAGAGAAAGGTTGTAAACCAGCTCTTTCTATTCTAGATTTGCCACTTAAGTATCTTTTTGAAGTTCATTAATTTATTTATCAATGACCGGTCTGGTGTGTGGAAGACTCCATTAATAGTGAAGATGACTTTTTCCCAGCTGCAACTACTAGAAAGTCAAAAGTTCAACATTACAGATTGATCAGTTACAGGATACTATTTTGCCTTTTTCTCAGTAAGTTTACAGTCCCCAGTGACCTGCAGTATATTCAGACCAGAATAAGAAAGGCCTCTTGAGCAGTCTGACTCTTTGATCCAGGTCACTGTCAAAGTTCAGCTCAACTGCCTTTGGTCCACTTGAATGAAACAGTCTTGCAACAGAAACTTTTGTAAAGTTCATATTATTGGCTCCAACTGAACAATAAATTAATACTTTCATATGATGCCACTGATTTCAACTACCTTCATTCCCAAGAACAGAAACAGAAATACAGCAACACATGGTAAGATCTACGCACTGATATATATCCCTGTCTTCAATCTCCTAATCATTTTATAGCTGGCTGCAAAGAGCAGTCCTGGATGATGCAAATTCCCTCTTTTTTCCAGATATATTTCCTATCTTCCAACAGAGGTGTTGTAGTTGCTGGTGCTGTATGTACAAAACCTCACAACTCAGTTATTTCCTGCAAGTATGAGACTGTTCCTTGAAGAAATCACTGTTTCTAGGGAAGTGCTGCAAACAGCAGAAACCACTTCATTTCCAAAAGTGGAAATCACCTTGGGCCCCAACTGTGCTATAGCGCGTGACTTGAGAACAGGTTGTTAAGCCCTGAGAAAAGAAGGCTGAGAGGAGACATTATCACTCTAAAACTATATGAAAGGAGGTTGTAGTGAGGTGGGAGTCATTTCTCTTCACCCCGGTAACAAGAGACATGAGGATAGCAAATGCTTTCAAGTTGCACAAGGGGAAGTGTAGTTCGGATTTTAGGAAAAATTTCTTTATGGAAAGCATTGTCAACTATTGGAAGAGGCTGCCCAGAGAAGTGTTGGAATCACCATCCCCAGAAGCGTTGAAAAAATGTGTGGATATGCCACGTGAGGATATCGTTTAGTAGTGAACCCGGTAGTGGTGCTAGGTTGATGGTCGGACTTGGTGGCCCTTAAAGGTCTTTTCCAATCTTAACAATTCTATGATTCTATAGCTTCTCCAAGGTAGGCAGAAGGAAGGAAGGCTTTCATTTCTACTGGTTTTTAACTTCCCCTGTTTTAGGTCATTCAGTGGGGACCAAGAAGTTTTGGTTTCTTGTTGTTCCTTTACAAAGTGCAGTCACCAGTCTCCGCATCATTCACTTCAACAGAAGAAATGAGGTTAAGTCTTGAAAACTGTCCATGGCAAAGAGGTAGTAATGCATGAAATACTGGGGGCTGGTCTTTGAAAAGACAAAGGAAAAACAAGATGCTCTGATTTCAGAAAAACTATTTGACTTGCTAAATTCATAAGAATTACAAGTTTTATAGTGCATCCTCTTACAGAAGACTTCAATCAAAGCCAAAATTCCTTCAAAATTCGGTGTTCACACTCAAATTCTGAGCTAAGAGAGCTGGTTACTATAAAACACTGATCAGGGAACCCCACAAGCATATAGAAAGCTATGACCAACATAGCTATTTATAGGAAAACTCCTCAAACCTTTGGGCGAGGGGTGGAACCTGCCATAAACAGATCCCTAAAATGATATGTTATAGCACGCTGACATTTGCCAGCAAGGTCTGGAAAAGGGAAAGGAACGTAAGGGTGCTAAAAGCTAAAGGTCAAATGGATCGCTGTGCTTTGTGATTGGGCTCCCCAACTGAATAAAATTTAGCTCTCAGAACGTGCTCAAATGCACATGATGCTGACATGTTGTAATTTGTGATGAAAAAAGAAAAAAAGCAACCTACACACAACTCAGAAGTAAGACTTCAAAAGCAGGCAGCAGGGTAAATATATTCATGGTGGGGTGGGAGGCCTTATAATCCACAGAAGTGTAAATTAAAACTAATTTACTAATTAAAAAAAAAAAGCCAAACTTTTTTGTTTGATTCTAGTGGCCAACACATAACCATAACTGACTCTTAAGAGGTCATTCCTAAACTGTTGCCTACAGGGGATGAAACTCTTTGCAAGCACACATGAAAGACAGATATAAAATCATTTCAGCAAAACTTCAGCATGAAGATCCCTTAAAAATACAGCTGGAAATTGCACCTTGGAGATGAGGAAAAGAGCAGATAGATCCTGAGATGCATGATGAATCCTTGGCTATGTCCATGAGTCTTGTTGTACAGACAGGGAATTGAATATGCCTTGCAGATGAGGCTGTCAGAGACGTATCTGGACAAATTACTGGGCAAGAGTGTGAAGAACTGCACACGCAGAAGGATGCCAGAGCAGTAATCTCCTTATCTAGGCACAGTGGATAAGACTTCTAAGTAACACCTACTGATTCTGAATAAGAGACCTCACTAATCAAGAGAGGTGAGGTTGATACTTCTAGGAAATCTCAGCCAGGGCACGAGTCTTCCCTGAAAGTACTGGCCAGCATCCTTGACACCTATAATGAAGTGAGACTGAAGCTACAACAGCAGTTCTACCCCAGATGCAAGAGGAATATTATCTCAAGAACAAGTATATAAAAATAAAAACCTACACCGAACACAGGTGGAGAAATCAGAACATTTGAAATAATTAAAGATCTTTTCCAGACTGCAGACCCTGGGAGACTCACTCTGGGCACTTCTTAGATGCTATAACTGTGCATTGCCATTGCAAACAATAAATTAATATATCTACTGGAGATTACATAAACAAAACTGTGTACTTATCTGCACCAAAACCGCATACATATTTGAAACAAAAACAAGAGAAAGGTTCTACACATTCCTTGTCACAATGGAAATTAACTCTATTTATTTTTTTCACCTAGATTTTGAAAAAAACAACAGATGCAGAAGATTTATAAATACCATTTCAAGTTTTCTTATGTATTATTAGCTACATATTTATCTCATTACTACTTTTGTACATCTTTTTTTTCCCCCCTGTCCTGTGCAAGTGATTTTGTTCTTAAGCTGCACATTTATCCTTATCTCAGTAACATTATCCTGCATCAGTCCCCCATAAAAGTACAATATTACCTGGAAAAAAGGCAAATCCTTAAAACACGTCTTTATTAAATGTGCCTGTGTCACCACATGGAATCAATGTAACAGGATGTATGTGCAGAAGAGTACAACATTAAAATTATAGAAGCGGCTATCTGAGAATCCAGCTAATCTCTAAGCACCACAAATATTCTTCAAATCCTGGATGGATCTGTTTTAATTCTGTATTTACCATATGACCCAAGTTTTTAAAATCAAGTGTGAACTACAGCTACAAAATAAAGGAGACTTTTTCTCTTGACGTTTCACCACAGTGTTTAAAGCTAGAAAATTGCCAAACCAGGAATGTTTCCTCCTACTTAATTCCATGTCTCTGTACTCTGGGAAGCTCATTTGGAAACAGAAGGGGAGGCGAGGAGGAGAAACATTTCATGATCAGGCACCTGCTGAGACCAATCACTCCCACATCCCCCAGCAGCAAACCTCTTCTCTGCCCCTCGGCAGCAATCAGCTTCACGGCTGAAAGCCAAAAGCCAGGCTATGCCATCCACACATGCCCACGATGCTTTCTAATAAACATAAGTAAAATAACCCATCTAATATTATATTTCAATTTTGTTTGGTCAAACAAACAAACAAAAAAACCACAAACAAACCAAACAAACCCTCCAAAGTATGTTGTTCTTGTGGTTTTAAGCATCAGAATTCCAAAACTCCATATATTGTCCAAAAGCACATTCCAAAATGGAGACAGAACAAAAGTAAAGCAGTTCTTGATCCAGGATGAGTTTCCAAAAGCAAGGTGTAAAAAGTCAGTGTAGTTCTATAACTAAGGGTTTGAAAAGCAAACAGCCCAAAGCACTGTTTTAGTGTTTTACTGAGCTAAATTTTATTGAATTTAAATTATTAATTTATGGAATGCAACTGTTTTATTGAGGTAAATTTTAGCCAATCCATTATTTTTCTTTGCAATAACCAACAACTTTTTTACTTTTAAGCTTCAAGGAGATATTTTGAAAGAGCCTTTCCAGGAAAATTGCATGTGTGCACACATATGTGCATCTATCTCTGAATCAATGTAATCTGCAACCTAATTATTTTCTAATTAACATATAACCATCTATTTTTCTCACATGATTAAGAAGAAAACCTGACAAGCAATTCTTCTTTGAGCTGTCATTATTTTGCTTTTATGCAGTAATGAATTACTTAAATAGCAGTTATTCATAGGACAAAGGTCTATTTGACTAGAGATGGAAGCTGCTGTTTATCTTTTCCAAACTGTCATGAAATCAATCCTAGCTGCAACCAGTTTGTGTGATAGTGTATCACAACCACTTTCCCAAAGAAACTATTTTGTAGTCTGACAGTAAATAATGTTCTCCCCATTGCAGAAACATCCTTCCATGTCATCTGCAACTTTCTCTCAGAATGTAACTCACTGAGCCTGAATTAAAACTCCCTGGGCTAGCTGACATCCCTCCAGCTTCATTTTTACCCCTTGAGTATTTGATAAGCAGTTGGATTTAGCAATTCAGTTTAAAATCATGGATAATCAAAGCAGAAGGCAATCAGACAATAATCTTTGTATCACTACTGCTCCTGCTTCTCTTTCAGTCTACAGTCCCCCTGATAATAAAGTATTTTAAAAAAGTCAAAAGCCGAACCATAACATACTAATTTGGAGAAAGAATATTACAAAAGAACTTTGCAGAATCACAAAATTAGCAAAGGGGCAAATTCTTTTTGATCAAATAACATTCTGCCTTTTCACAGACATTCAAACCACTTTATCTCCTTGCTACTATATACTTTATACTAATATTTACGCTCATTACCTATTACTACCTTTATCTACTACCATCTGCTATCTACTACTACTGCTTATCCCTAGCCTTATTTCACCTGACCAAAGTACCACCTGGCACCAATAACCAATATTTTAACAGCACCCTCTCAAACATATATAGAGCTCAAAGTATGCTAAAAAGCACCCCTTTGGTGAATTGCTGCAAGAGAAGAACACAAGCTTGCTCCAAAACAAAAGAAGGGACACCCTTATGCTCTGTAGTACATCACACAAATTGCCCATGTCTGACCTGACGACTGAGGGGTTACCCCAGCACCTCACAACCTGCAGAGGCAGCAGCATGGAACACTCAGGGCCAACACCTGAATACTGCAGGCACAAATAAGGTAACATTTTGCTCTAGCATGATCTACCTTACAGGACGGCTCACCAAAGCCCTTCCTCACCTGCTTCCATGGTGAGAAGGAAGCAAAAACCCAACTTACACTCCAGACTCCTGACAGGTTTGGGACACTTAGGGTCCAGCTTAAACCTTATGCATGAGAAGGGGAAAAAAAAAAAAAAAAAGGCATGAGAGCACCTGCTCTTTGTGGCAAATAAGCTTCCTCTGCACTCAATGGAAACTGAGAGCTGTATCATGTTCCTCACAGCCTTTACTACAGCAATATTATTTGCATAGCCAACAGATTAGCCAGCCAGCCATGATACTCACTTCCAAATCAAGAACGTACATACCAGTTTTAAAGTCCATATCAAATTTATATAGCTGAGTTATAAGAACGCTAATGCCGGGTTTGCTGTGGAAAGCACTGACACAACCAGCTATAAAAAGGGGTTATGAGACAGTCCTGCAAATAAGCTAAAAAGCTTTTCCCCAAACAAAGCAACAATCAAAGTTAGCTTAGGTCAAAAAAACCTGTTTGATTACCAGAGTACTTTGCTAGGCGTCACCACCGGGAAACCCTGTCCTCACAGGACTCCATGTGGCTCAATTCCCACTTGCTACGTTTTCATTTCCCTCCTTTTTGTCCCCATAATTTTTCAGACTGATTTATAAAGCTTTAAGCTACAGCATGCACAATAATAACCTTTAAAGAAAATGTCTACGGAAAAAAAAAGTGTAAGGCAAAGTACCAACTATACTTCTTGGTCTGTCTGTGGACCCCAATAGCAAGTACTACCACAGTCCTGGCAAGACAGTCTGCAAAAGGGCTATCCTTGCCTCCTGACCTGTTCTGCTAAGTTCTCCAGCTTTGCTTCATCCCTTTCCCTCCATATGCAGCAGCTCCCTCACTATGATGCAGCAGTGGCTTGGCTGAAGCAGATCCAAAAAAGCCTTTGGACTCATCATAGCCCACAGGAAAATGGGGAGTGCCCTCAGGCATTCATTCATTTTGCCAGCAAAGAACCACAAAACCATCTCTCACATTTCATTCTCAGCTCTGACAGCAGTAACCCTGACAACAACATATATTTTAACGCGATTAAGCAGTGTATCCCTACAGTTCCAAACAAAAACCAACACAGAGTTTGAGCTTTCTCTCTATGCAAACATGGCTGAGCACACCTGTGGGTTCACATTTCAGGAAGAAAACAAATGGCTTCAACTCGCTTTCTTTTCTCCTTAAAATTTTTCTCTTAATATTTATCTAATGCCCCACCCCCTCAAAATAAAAGAAAAACCATCCTTGAATACACTAAACACGAAGCTACACACCTACAAAGAAGTACAAGAGGACGTCAACCACTCAACACAGAAGAGGCACCACACAGCATAAGTTAATTTTACACACAATCAGGTTGATGCAGAAAAGGATCCAAAAAAAGTAAATTAGGTTTACAAAACAGGGTAACTGAACAATGTATAGGCCTTTTGAATATGTGCTCTTTTATTTTTCAATCAATTAAAGTAAAACAAGTCAACATTAATGCCAGCAGCAGCCCTCAGCTTCCCTTGCTTGCCTCAGAACAGGTTGTCAATAAACAGGAACAGTTTCCACATGCTGATGCCAGAAGGGTTATTAACTGGTGCCATCTTTCACTTGTCATGGCTTGACTGATCATGGTTTCCTTGCAGCTCTTCCATGAGCAGGTTTAACCTTTGCTACCTCTCCCCCTTTCCCTTACAACAGTCCAAACCCTGCAGAATGTGAGGAATCAGAAACAATTTCACCAAAGGTGCCTTCAGCTTTAATTTTTGACAGAACCACACTACCTCGTGATTACTGCAAGCCCAGTAGCAGTTATCAGAAAGTACAATCCCTGCTTTCGAACTTGCTTGTGTGAAAGGGAAGTAGCTAACTACATATACAGCAATAAATTCTGATACAATTCACCTATTTTACATGTAGCTTAAACATTTTATCCAGGCACTAATTTACAAGTTAAAATGTGGAAAAACCCACTGGAATTCAAAGGATTATTAAAATTCACCCTGACATCAATAAGGAATAAAGAAACTATTCTGTTCAAGTGTAACTCTATTGGCATCTAGTAAGACTAAGCATCTGGTCTTGCTTTTCCAAGCCACTTGAAGCATTCAGGAGAACAAAGAGATGAAAAGATTGCAACCAAGATAAGATGGGCAATACTTCTGAATAACAAGATACAACTAATCTTCTGACTTGGAGAAGAAGTGATGTCGCAATGCCAAAAAACAAGTTGTCAAAAGGACTAAGGCAAAGTAATTCAGACATCATGGCTAAAATCATATTTGCAAGAAGAACGTGGGCAAATCCAAAAAAATATATGCTTTTCAAACCCTTGAGTGATGGAAAACAATTTACAGTCAAGTGCCAGAATGTCTGAAGATATTTAAGACCTGAAACTAGAAGCTTTTGCTAAGCGTTCTCTCAAGGAGCTCAGCCGTGTTCTCATGGTGCCAGCATGCCCTAAGAGCCCTGTTTATTTTAACTGGCTGTCTTCTCTTGGACGATTATTCTTCTGTTCAGAGAGCTTACAGAACTAATCCAGGTTTCTCCCTGGGAGACTATATGCCAGTGGGTAAAAATTACTGCCTACTTAATTTCCTCGGAGAGACAGAAAGAGAAAATGGAATGAAAACGTAGCTAGAAACACAACACAAACTTTGTATGTCTGCTTTAGCTTTTGGGAGCTGCCTTCAGTAGTGGGGTTGGTTTCCAGGGGTTTGGGGAGGGTTTTTTGGATGGCCAACACAAATGAACTCCATAGCTAAAGCACACTGATTACTTGGGACTGCTGAAGAGGCATCAACTTATGAGCCATGCTATTTGCATCAGAATAGACGTTTCGAGTGCCTGTCTCATTTGGAATAAACTGTTTGGAAAGTTACTTAGTAAGTTTTATTACTGGGGCTTCCTGAACAAACCCAAAGCAAAGCAGAGTTTTCTCTAATGCAGCTGAAGTGTGAAGTGGCAAAAGGGACTGAGCCCTGCTACTTCCAAAGAAATTTATTTCCATACTGTAAAGGCCATACATATATCTTGGGCAAATAAAATAGTGTACTTCCTCCCTTCCCAAAGAGGGTTACTTTTATTCCTTTACAAATGATAACATTAGTGCAACTAACTGAACATCCATCGTCTTAGTAATCTTAGTAGACAATATGTGTCATCTTGTTTTCATAAGGTTTTCATGGTCTATGATTTAGTCCCCCTTAATGAGATACACCTTTTCTGTGTCAAATGTGATGCAATCTACCCATGCTTGCCAGAACACCCAATTTAGAAATACAAACAGCATAATACACTATACTGTGTAATTTAAAGATACTCTGATTTTTTGCCTTTGAGTATCTCTGACAGGACAAAGAGCGTCATACATGGCAGCAGTGAGAAGGAAATGCAACTGATGAAGCAATTCTACATATGAAAGCAAAGTAGAGAATTAAGTGGGGAGCGTGAACCAAAAACCGATCTGACAAAAAATAACAGCCCGTGGCAAGAAAATGCTACTACAAATTGAGTCCTTCATGATACATCAGCCATTGTCTCACTTCCCCTCTCCAGAAACCAGGCATGCATAAACAAGTAGAAAACAACCTGCTTGGTTCAAAGAATTAAGAATTAAGCTGCACCATATAAGTAAAGAGAAAATGGAGGCAAGTTCAGACACTGCAAGAATTGCTTATTGGCACAAAGCATCTGTCCAGGGAGCACAACTCAACTGAATGCCATCCCAAACTGTTACTCTGTAAAAACTGTAGAAGTCCATTTTTGAGGGGAAACCCAATTGCAGCAATAACAGTCACCACATCCACCCCCCACAGAACATTTTGACCCATCACTCTCTACAACTACCTGAAAGGAGGTTGTAGCCAGGTGGGAGTCAGTCTCTTCTCCCAGGCAACCAGCAGCAGGACAGGAGGGAACGGTCTAAAGCTCTGCCAGGGGAGGTTTAGGTTGGATATTAGGGAGAAATTTTTTCCAGAGAGATTAATCAGACATTAGAATGAGCTGCCCAGGGAGGTGGTGGATTCACTCTCCGTGGAGGTTCTCAGATGAGACTGGATGTGGCACTTGGTGCCATGGTCTAGTAACCACAGCAGTGTTGGATCAAGGGTTGGGCTTGATGATCTCGGAGGTCTTTTCCAACCTGGTTGATTCTATGATTTAGGAGTCACATATTAAAAAAAAAATAAAAAAAAAATAAAGAGCCACTTCTGTTAGCATTATAACCAGCAGCTGAAAAGGCTAGAGACGGAGCTACACTTCTGCCAGTTCTCCTTTGAGCACGCAGCTCAGCACCCAAGGAGGAAATGTAGAAGAAATGCATCCAGGTGCAGAAACTCCTCCATGCTACATCAACCGAGGCTTCATATTTTAAGTATAAAGGCACTACAGCTTATGGCATGACCCTTCGGTAACATGGAATTAAAAGGCAATCTTAAACACGTGACAAATGTCAACTCATTTCAGATAAGCAAGCATGTTCTGAAGTGCATGGAAAGTAACAAACCAATCATGGCTAATATGCTGATGGTACCAAGACCTTCATCAAAGCACAGTACTATATGTATGTGTCTTTAACGCAATGGAGAGAAAACCCCTCAGGATTAGTCAAATGCAAACTTCTAGCCCAAAGAAATAAAACAGAAATAGGAGACATTAGTAAATCCTAGTGGATACCTTGCCTTTTAAAAGTCAAGGGAATATTATAGTAGACATTTGTTTTAAGCCAGTCACATACTGGCTAAAACCCTAAAGTATGAAATATTGCGGAAAAAAAAAAGTCCAATAAAAAGCCCTCAGAAAACAAGAAACACATTTTAAAGCAGTTGCACATTGTTTAATAGATTCATACAGCTGTTTTTAGCTAAGGCAAAAATCTTTATCACAAGCTAATAAAGCTCATGAGAACATATAACAACTTCAAATTTAATTTTCCATTTTGAAATTACACGTCTATGTAAACACACACAATACCCTGTTTTAGTTTGCTTGACTTTAAACATCACTTTCATGTGATTTGTTTATACAGTTCCAGGTGTGTGGGGTTTATATATACATTTATTTATGTATGTATGTAAAACACTGGATATAATAGTACTATAGATGGTGATATAGACATATATTCTTTGAGTAAATACTTGTATAGAAATATTTATTTTTACACACCTCTATACCAATAAAAAGGCATCAATTTTTTTTTTTTTTTTTTTTAGGAAGTGTGCAACAAAAAGGAGTTGTCCAGAGCAAACAGGAAAGATACCCTGACCACAAAATAAAGATCCTCATTTTAAGTAGATTTTCCTTGCCATTCAATTGCCAAATGCATTGCAGACATGTAAGACTAAACTTCTTCACTAAAGCTCCAGAGAGGAAAATGCTTGTGGTACTTGTTGCAGCTATGAACTTCAACTAAATTTCTTGCTGATAAATTTTAACCATCTTCTGAGTTCCACTGCTGAGAGTTGCACTGCAACTAATTATAGTTACTGAAAGTCTGAGTTATGCTGCAATATGTTTTTTCTTACTGGGACATCTGGAGATCCAAAATCTATACACAAAGCTAAACAAGGAATAAAGTTGGTTGTCAAATAGCTCTGAAAAAACAGCAAAGAAAACTTGATCCTTCAAATTTACTTCCTGCAATAGTCTACCGCTTGTTCTCAGCTTGACAATTTAGTGGAATGTGTCTGGTCATTCAAAGTCTGAACCTGCAGAGCAATCCTGTAATTAAGTCTGTTAGCCACGATAGCTCTCTGGTGAATTTTATTTTCTCTTTCCCTTTTTTTCCTCCCCCCTATTTGTAGGCACATAGCCCTGTACTACCAAAACTAAAATCAGGACATTTCAAAGTTAAGACATAGAAAAAGAAATCATTCCCAAAGGAAGCAGAGCTTACAATGAATATTATCACGTCTAAGGAAACAAAAACTTAAATAATTTACAGTCTTAAATTTTGGGACTAAAACAAAGACTGCTCTAGCATTCTGGAAAAAAAATCCTATATGCATTGGTGATTACAGGCAAAGCTAGGAAACAATGCCAAGTTAAACAAAAAAAACACCAAAACACAATATGCATAAACTTCTTCGACTTGATCCAAGGCAGATGGTATGGAAAGCCTACAGACAGGATTTTTTACTTTTTTTTTGTTTGGTTGGTTTATTGTGGATTTTTTTGTGGTTCTGGTTGTTTGTTAATGGGGTTTTTAATGTTATTATTGCTGCTAATAGTACAACATGTTGATCGCTCACACAGAAGTCACTGTCCTCCATGTGACTGACACTCTTCTCAGTGGTCTAGAGACTTCTGAGGTCTAGATACAGCCTCTTGAATGCCTTCAAAGCTACTTAAGACTAAAAGCCTGACCAACACAAAAGGATGAGGCGTTTGAAAAGCATGATGATTACAGCTGACATGCTAAATCCATGTAGCTTCTTAGGCATGTCACTTCAGGTTTTTTCCCCAAGTACCCAACAACAGCAACAAATTTTAATGTAGGAGGACTTATGCTAGATTTCAAGTAATTTCTAGAAGTTAACTTATTGCTTGTAGAACTGCTGGAAATAAGACTTTGGTTTTATAAATAAAAAATTAAAATCACTACTTGCCACCTTTTTTTTTTTCTTTTCCCATCTTGCTTTTCTTGAATTCTGCATCAACTATACCAAATGAAGAACAAAGTTTCCGGCCCTTATAAATAATGCCCTTTTTGACCACTGTTTTGGTCAGAGACACAATGACTTATTTTTTTGTCTTGCCCTACTACCCTGAATGTTACTGAATTTTGTAAACCCCAAGCATGTGTAAGCCACTCATAAATAAGGCTCTGGTGAAAGCTGGTAGCATGAGTGACAACCTGCCCTTTGGCACAAGAAAGAAGACATTTTCAAATTGAAAAGGTATTCAGAATAAATCATATGGGATGTTCACTGCTGAAATCTTATCCTCAAAAGAGATTCTCCACATCAGCCCAAATCCAAGAAAAATGATGCAACCAACACCGCATCTTGAAAGCAATGAAAATCTCTTAATCTACTGACTAAAAAAAGGAAGTGGGACTATCGAAGAAACTTGCAGAGCAGGGCTGGACAACTGTCCTGGCAGGGCTACTCTGCCTTCATTCTGCTTGCTGCTTGGAGGATTACCACTGGGACTCCTGCTCCACGCAGGAGATGCCAGTGTCTATTGCCTAAGGTGTGTGGGGGCGGGGGCAGCAGAGCAAGCCTTCACTGCCAGCCTCCACAGCATCAACTGCTTCCCCACAGCTCACAGCAAAATGCATCCCTCAGCCGTGACTAACATTCAAACGTACAACTTAACAAGACATAGTAGCATATAACTCATTTCAGTAGGACTTAAAACTTCACTGAGCAGCAGTGCATTGGATGTTTGCAAAATACTTCCTCAAGACAACAGAAACCAAATTTTGGCTGCAAAACTTAGGCTGGGGGAGGTGGATGGGGGAAGAACCCAACCAAGCAAAACCACCCCCCATAAACTGAGGTGAGACAGGGAATGCAAAAAGTTTCCGAAATCACTGAGGCTCCAGCTTTAGAGTATGGGAACATTAAAAACAAAAGGCAGAAATATTACAGTCACATTTGTTCCCACCTTCCCAAAACATTATCAGGCAGGGATGTGTTATGGGAAGGCCATCACAGAATTGGGCTGGCCACCAGAACAGTCTGATGGCTTCCCATCTAAAACCACCATTCAAGGCACATTTTGTCAATCGCCAAACAGCAATAGCATCCCCAAGCCTGCTTCTGCAGGTGGAAGGCAGGAATGACAACACACATGGAAGCAGAAAGTGAGAGTTAACGTGTAGCCAGTGACCTTTGGCAAGCAATATTCTAGTATCATATGAACTGGTGACATCAAAGGTTCATGTCACCCTGACCCGAAAATGCACTGTTTGCATATTTATTGCCTGTTTAACAAACAAATTTAGGGGAAAGCCTTCTCCTCATAAATATATCATTTTTATTCAACCGGTTTCTAAAAGCCGAACTGGTTCAATGGAACAATGAAAAAGCTACAGAAGGACCTGAGCTCTTCACGCAGCCATCCATCATGCCTGTCTTGAAATTAACAGTTTTATACACTCTTCTCTAGTCACCTATTAGAAGGCATCAGATATCTTAAAATTACGCAACCTACCAAAGGAAGGTCCTAGATTTACAGCACATGTCCCTGAGTGGCTCTCCCAGAGACTGAATGGTAGGAAGCATTCCATGTCTCTTGCTAGTGTTCAATTACAGCCCATAATGCCAATCTGCTAAAGGATTGGATTTTCCAGGGAGCACAGGGATGTTCTCTCCGCCTTCTAAATGGCAACTTAGCACAATTATAGCAACCAAAGTACGTTTAGGTATGCTGAGAAAATAGCATTTTCATACCTTAAATAATAACAAGAGCACATTGTAATAAGAATTTTTAATGAAAGAATTAGCACCAACATGGCTACAAAAAATATTAAGATCTATCCTTGAATTTGTTACTGAAATTATCTTAACATGCATAAATTCTCCCTTTGAAGTTTTATTTCACTCACATAAAGAAATTCAAGCTAGCCTGGTAACTCCTATTACTTTCAGTAGGAGTCTTGCAATTGGTTACGGTTTGAAATGAATCCTGCACAGGAAAGGCCTGCAATATAGTTGAGATTACTTTTTCTCTTTTCCTCAAGCTTTTCAATAAGACTGTCCTTAAACCTATTTGAGTACTAACTGGACAAGGATGAAATAGCTTTTTGTGCCTCACAGTATTTTGATCTCTGTACAATACGCTACCAGTCACCAACTTAACAGCCACATGGGCACGAGAACTGAAGGAGAAGGTGACCATTTTACACAACCTCTTCTTAAACAAAAATGAATAAGACACGAATAAAGTTACTATCTAGAAGTTTAACAGGGCCAATATTCCACTTTTGATACAATATAGCCTCTCTCAGTAGAGGTTTTGCACTGCTTTTTGAGTTGATGAAGAACAAAGCAAAGCATACTAGTGAGAGGGAACAATAAGCATGACCAAAGCTGGAAAATTATTAAAGTTGGAAACCTTGGAAGTAAAACATCATCTCAGAAACATTCCCACTTACAAATGAGGTTAGGAGGATACCAGGTTAGTGTGGCTTTGTAGGTTTTTCTCTTCTCCCATCTACATAAGGACACCTGTGACCTCACATGGCACTTAGGTCAAATGAACACACTGAAGTTCCTCCTTACAACATGTGTATTACTCAGAGCATGAACTGATACAACATTCACGGTTTAAACCTTGGAGTTCAGTCCTTTACCACAAGAAAACTCATGCAACTGGCAGTCTGTTACAAGAGGAGGATTTGAGGGAGTAAGTCACTACAGAAATACAGAGTGCATGAGGCTGGGCACCCACATGACTGTGATGCCAAACTGCAGATTCCTGCAGAGAATTCTAGCTGATGCTGATGTTATGTAAAGTTTGTGCCAGATATCAGCAAGATACTTGAGTGACAACACATCCTTACAGATCTGATATTAACCTATTTGAAGACATGTTGCTGCACATACTCCTAAAGACTGGAAAATAGTAGTATCCAAACCAGGATTTGTGGGTAGGTGAAGGGGAGAAATCAGCATCTAGCAAGTTTCCAAATAAATGCACAAACAGATGTGTAGGATGTT